ATAAATGGAAAAAATTTTGAAGGTTTCAAGGATTTCATTTTACTTGGATCCACAATCTATGCGCATGGAAGCAGCAGTCAATGACGTATATTGCATTGGGCAAATCTGCCGCAAAAGACCTCTTTAAAGTGTTAAAAAACAAAGATGTCACTTTGAGGACTAAGGTTCGTCTGACCCAAGCCATGATATTTTCAATTGCCTTGTATTCACGCAAAAGCTGGACGATGAATAAGGAAGACAGAAGAAGAATTGATGCCTTTGAATTATGGTGAAGAATATTGAACATACCGTGGACTGCCAGAAGAACGAACAAATCTGTTTTGGAAGAAGTACACCCCGTATGCTCTTTAGAAATGAGGATGGCGAGACTTCATCTCACATACTTTGGACATGTTATCAGGAGGGACCAGTCCCTGGAGAAAGACATCATGCTTGGTAAAGTAGGGGGTCAACATAAAAGAGGAAGACCCTCAATGAGATGGATTGACCCAGTGGCTACAACAATGAGCTCAAACACAGCAACAGTTGTGAAGGTGGGGCAGGACTGGGTAACGTTTTATTCTGTTGTACGTAGGGTTGCTATGAGTCGGAACTGACTCGATGGCACCTAACAGCAACAACAACAACAATACCTCAAATAGGGGGAAGAAAAGATTACTTTATGCTTAAGGGAAATTGTTTTAAACTGTGAGGGGAAGACATGGATTATATTTAAGATAGTATTCTTAAAAGAGGAGTAATAGAATGTTAGTATTTACTTAGGCTAAAACTTCATTAGTAATATCCTCCAGAACCCATGATGAGAGATAATATTATAAGAAAAAGTATTTATTAAAAAGAAGAAATAAAGAAAAAAACATTTAAAGAGCCACATGTTAGGTGGAGAGGTGAATGGAGGTAGGGGAATGGTGTCAAGGTCAAAATTGGATAAAATAATGAAATCCCTCTTAATTCACCATTAGTTATTGCTGCTGGTTTTATCATGTGAACTGACTGGAGGAAGGAGACTGGCCTGTCAGGATGGGATGGAAAAATGTAACGGATAGGCAGAACAAAATTTTACATTTGTATATTATAAGCTATCATGGCTGCCGTATGCTATTGAAAAAGTCTGAGAATTCAAAGGGATACAACATTCCATTCTCAGACTACCCTTTTCCTAATAGGTGTTACTGTCATATCCTGACCCAAGAGATGACCTTTATAAATTTGCCACTTAAGAAAATAAAACTGTTCAAATGATTGATAGGCACTTGCCATCCAGAACAGATGGTGACTTGGGTGATAAAATTGTGAAAGCCTTCTTTGAACTATGGACTACAGATTAATTCTTTATCCCATGAGGGCTAATTTAGGCTTTAATGCAGATGAAAGCATGAAGACTGGTTTCCCAGCCTCTGTGTCATTCCTGCAACTTGCACATTTCCTAAGAAATGGAACTCTTAAGTCCAGCAAGCTGCAAACATGGTGCTAAGGGTTTCTCTATTTTACCAGAGCCAAGGGCACAGAAATGTATAACTCAAGAGAAAAAAAGTGACATGGCCTGGCTTCCTAAGAATTGTTCTCCATAATAAATACCATGTTGAAATAAATAATAATAATAAGTGGTAGAAATAACACAGGTGGAAGCAAGCAGCAAGAAAAAGAACTATAAAGACACTTAACTAGAGAAAAAAATACTTATACTCTAAGATGTCACTTTGAGAACAAAGGTGCACCTGACCCAAGCCATGGTATTTTCAATTGCTTCATATGCATGTGAAAGCTGGACAATGAATAAGGAAGACCAATGAAGAATTGATGCCTTTGAATTATGGTGTTGGTGGAGAATATTGAACATACCATGGACTGCCAGAAGAATGAACAAATCTGTCTTCGAAGAAGTACAATCAGAATGCTCCTCAGAAGCGAGGATGGCGAGACTTCACCACACATACTTAGGACATGTTATCAAGAGGGACCAGTCCCTGGGGAAGAACATCGTGCTTGGCAAAGTAGAGGGTCAGCAAAAGAAGAGGAAGACCCTCAATGAGATGGATTAACACAGTGTGTGCAACAATGAGCTCAAACATAGCAATGATTGTGAAGATGGCACAGGACCGGGCAGTGTTTTGTTCTATTTTACATAGGGTCGCTGTAAGTCAGAACCAACTGGACGGCACCTAACAACACCAACGACAAAGTAGAACTAATTATCTGGCTGATTTCCACAAGGTGGTAAATCTTGCTGAATTAATTCAGAAACCAGAAGTCAATTACAACACATTCAAAAATGCTACTTCTGGAAACCCTGTAGCTTAACTTTTAGCAGTGATTTTATTATAGGCTTTCGTGATCATTGTGGAATGGCTCATTAAAATCTAAAAAGATGGACCCAAATCAGTTGTAACAAGAGGGAGAACTGTGAGCCAGGAACTTGGGGATATTAAGTCCTTCCAGGAAGCTTGAGCTGTAGACTACAGGAGCCAACGCTGAAACTCTCCAACCCTTTGGCAGCGCAACACTTAGGCTTCCTAAGGGTGGGCAGAGAGCCCCAACCCTCAGACAGCTACTTCTTCATTGTTGACATGAGAAATAAACCTGTTCAAGAGGAAAATTTATAGAAGCCAACAGAGAATTTTATAAAGGCTGAGTAATGTACTCATTACAGCACATTTAGGTCATAAAATTATCATTGAGCTGCACCCTCTGAAAAATAAACACAACAATTCAGTCTGTTTTGTCTCAAAAAGCACACCCGCTTTGGATGACAGTGTTTAGGTCTGATATGTGCTTGTTTTCCAGACTTTCAGTACCAGTCAGTTGGATAATGAATAGTGACTGCAGAGGTTTCTGCTACATGGCAACGTTGATGCATTGACTACTAGAATATAAAAACGTCTTCTTGGAACAGTTTAGTTAAGCCTCAAGCAGCAGAGAGGAGTAGCATATTAGCTGCAGGTCATCTGTCTTGCATTTTTAATATCCACCCCTCCCCCCCACCCCCCACCCAAGAAGCAGAAGCTTAACTTTCTTGCTTACTTTCTGAATAAAAAGTAAAATAATTTGGATTCCTTGAGCCCAGACCAACAGATGGTGGTGGTGGGTTGTCAAAAACGTACTGGATGGCAAAGGAAAATAAATCAACCAGTGAATTTAAATTTGTCCCCCCTAAAAAATCACAGAACAAATAATCTTCACATCAAAGTTGGTTTCTTTCAGCTGTTCTGATAGAGATTTCAAACTCTACATCATATTTGTCATTTTAATTTGTATTAAAAGTAAAAAAGCAAGAACGAATCATCTGTCAAAAAAATTAAGAACAAAAACCAGTTGTCAAAAAATTAGTTAAGAATGAGTTCATTGTCAAAAAATTAGTAAGAACTTAAATGTCCAATAATAGGTGAACAGGAATGGTTAAATTAATTATGACCTATCTACTTGATGGGATATTTATGTATCCAATAACATGTATCAGTGGTGGCAATGTGGGAAATACTTGTGAGATAGTATTAAGTGTGTGAGGGGTAAAAATTGTCACATACTGTGACTGCAACTATAAATAAATATAGCTCAGGAAAAAACTAATAGAAAATATCAAAATGCTTTAAAATTTTGCACTAAACCAAAAAAAAGAAAAAGAAACCCGTTGCCTTCGAATGGATTCCAACTCATAGTGCCAGTGCATTATAGGACAGAGTAGAGCTGCCCCATAGGGTTTCCAAGTCTGTAATCTTTACAGAAGCAGACTGCCACATCTTTCTTCTGTGGAGCGACTAGTGTGTTTGAACTGCTGACCTTTCTGTTGGCAGTAGAGTGCTTAACCACTGTGCCACCAGAGTTCCTTAAAATTTTGCATTACGATGGTGAAATTACTTGGTTATTTCCCCCCTCATCTATTTTCCAACTGTTCTTTAAACTAGATGTAATAATCTTTAATAGAAAATAAATTTATAATCAAAAATGAAAAGAAGGAACAAAAAGTTTTTTTTAATAATAATTACTATTTAAACCCCTTTTAGTTATTATCTATAAAATCTGGAATAGCAGATTTCTTTGAGGCTTTTGCACAGTTGTGTAAATATCAAGCATATGAGTGATTAAGGTTCCTGGAAAACCCTTGTTCAACTCTGATTCAAAAACCACTTCAGGATTTGGGTCATTGAGCAGAGGACACAGAAGACAAACATCTCAAAGGAAAGAAACTTTTCAAGGAAAGTCATGCTTTTAACACTGGACAAAGGCAACTTCCCAGAGGGAGAAACTGCACGTTCCAAGAGATTCCTTTCTAGGTTAAAGCAGAATCACAGCTTGGCAAATAGAGCAGCCTTTAAAACTGCTTTCCAAGAGGACGCAGTGATTCTAAGTGAGTTCTTCTCAAAACTTAATTCTGCATCATCCCCTTTCCCAAGCTTATTTGTCATTATCTCATTGTCTTTCAGCAAACTCCACCTCAGCTCTCTAGCCTCCACCAAAGTGAATGAATCAAAATGAGTACCCCTGGGGCCATGGGGAAGGGACAGGAAGAGAAAGTTGATTTTCTGCACTTTAGAAGGGGCTGGCAGAGGGCAGGAGAAGGTGGGTGATGATTTCACAGAGCAGGAACACCTTGGGGAGCTGCAGCTCCTTTGCAGATTCTCCACAACCTCTCTCACAATAGAGCAACTCACAACAGAGTCACTTTCCAGAAAAGAATAGAGTGAGGGGGACTTCTGGAAGGTGTATGTTGATGTGCCAATGTAGCCAGAATCATGAAAAATTAGTTAAGGGTTTCCAACATTTGCTTTCTTTTCAGGAGGGTCCTGTTGTTATCAATTTCCTATAAGAGTCACTGTCCAATCTGTCTTCCAGAGTTCTTGTCCGCAGCAGCCACTGCTGCAAAAGAGTCTCATAAATTTAATTACACCTCATGATGCTGCTAGATGCTGGTTTGAAGAACTTTTCCAAAGTCCCAGTTTGCCAACATTGCTTCTTTTCTACCCTCTGCCATTTTCGACTGTTTGTTTTCTAATCAATCCTAGGTGGTTCGAGATCAGATCTCTCATTGCACAGTGAAGTTGCGCCAGACCACGGGTCTCATGGAGTACTGCCTGGAGGTGATCAAGGAAAATGATCCCAGTGGCTTTTTGCAGGTTAAGTGTCAACTAGTTTCTGTTTCAGATTTTAAATGCCCATGGGACTAAGTCTAGGACACCTAGGACAGATTCCCAACAACTCGGGCTGGGTATACGTCCGTCTCTAAAGGATCCTCTACCTTCATGATTCCATGTGCATGTGGGTACCTGCTGCGTCCCACTGACTTCCTAAAAATCTCAGCCACCATGTGCTACAAGACTGAGAACTGCAGGGAGTTTTTGTTTGTTTTCTTATGTTTAATCATGAAAGCATAATTCCCTGTAAGTTCTTCCAGAGCGGAGTTATTGTCTTACCTAAGAATTGAGTCCTTTTCCACTAGTATATCTTGGATAGTTCTGCCAGCTGGAAATGTCTAAATAAAGGTACACAAGGTGTCTGCTACAAAGTCAGTGATTTCCCATATATGATGACGTTTTTCTTCTATGTTTCATTATTTCTTTGGTGTTAATTGTTTTAGTAGGTACTCTGATGTAAGCAAATTCTACTTAAATTTTAATCCCAATGGTAAGGGACCTTTTGTTAAGGAACATGTAGATCCCCTCCAACTCATATTCTACTAGACTAGCAGAGTGTAGAGAGAGACTGAATATAAGAAATGAAAGATTTTCTACCAAAGAATAAAGTGATAACCACATGAAGATGATGTGCTTAAAATGCAAGAAACTCTATTTTGCAGATCATCATATACAGTTTCTCTAAACTATTTTCTAAAACTCATTTCCAAGTCTTGATAGAACACTCACACCTCAAATTAGAATCTTAGGGTTTCTGGCTGTAGTAGGATTAACTAATCACCAACATAGCATTCTTTAAAGGTGTTGGCTTTTAGTTGCTCAGTTATAAATAGTATGATCATCTATTCAAGTTTGTCTATTAGATCAAGTCCCTGGGTATTGTAAAAAGTGCTCAACTACTAATTGGAAGGTCGGTGGTTTGAACCTACCCAGAGGTGCCTCAGAAGAAAGGCCTGGAGATCTACGCCCAAAATATCACAGCCTTGAAAACTATGGAGCACAGTTCTACTCTGCACACATAGGGTCACCATGAGTCAAAATCAACTTGATGGTAACTGGTAGTTATTTATAGTGCACCCCGCCCCGACGCAAAAGTGTCCAGATTAGCAGGATAAATCACGGGTCACCCTAGTCACAAGAGGCTCCACCTCATCCACTCTGGCACTGACTCCATTGAGACAGGAAGGGGTGATTGCCAAGGTGGTTTGGTGGAAATGCTCCAGGAGAGTTGAGAAGCAGCGTTCTGTCTCGAGTGTGGTGTTGTATTTCTCAGGCTGTGGTCTTTGATGTGATTAGATTTCTGACGCACTCATAAGGAGAGTGCACCTGACTGAGGATCAGTGGGGGAAAGGCACGCTCACTCCCAGGATGACCACGGACTTCGACTTGAGTCTGGACAACAGTCCTCTGCTGCAATCCATTCACCAGCTCGACTTCGTGCAGATGAAAGGTATGTGCTTGCGTCCACCAAGTCAGATAGCAACATCCAAGCAGATACTGGTGCTTGAAGCAGGATGAAGGCTGTGTGTCAAATTGCAGCCAACCAAAAGCAGATGCCAGGCTTATACATCACCTGATAGGTGGGAAAGTAAACACAGACATACCTCTAGCTAATGTTACAAAAATCTGGAGAGGCTTTTATCTTTTCATATAATGAGAAAGTACCCTTGTAGCTGTGTGATCTCCCTCGTAGTAAGTCAGATAAGCTTAAGGCTTGCCTCTTTGAGAATCTTAAAGATTTCACATGTCCAGCATTAGAGGTAGGGAGGGAAACAGCATCACTATACGTAAATAAAATCTTGTTACAGAAAGTATTAAAACTTGAAACACAGAAACAGTGATAGAAATCAAGGGGGTTGAAGGTTGAAACTACTGCTTCCACATGGATAGAGCTAGTGAGCAAATGGCTTGAGCGTGGATCATTTGGAATTTCAGAAGGTCATAGTCAGCATGTCAGAGTTGGTCAGGGAAAATAGAGCCTGCATGCAATTGAAATAAACTTTAAAATTAGGTGGTGGGATTAAGGGATGTGACAAGATAGCTCTGAGATTTTTGGCAGCTGGGGGGAAGAACAATCACTTAAAATTATCTTAAGGGAAATAACTCTTTCAAGGAAAAATAAAAACTAAAGCCTACCACGCAACAATATTTTTATGGCAGCGTAATATCCATTTGAAGAGTATTTCTGATTTTTTTTAACTCTTGAGTTTGAAATAATTATACATTTACAGGAAGTTGTAAAAATAGTAAGCAGAGGTTCTGTATACCCTTCACTCAGTTTTGTTCAGTGGTTATATCTTATATAGCTATAATATCAAAACCAGGAAATTGCCATTGCTACAGAGTGTGTATAGTTCTATGCCATCTTATCACATGTGCAGATTCATGTAACCACCACCACAGACAAGGTACAGAACTGTTCCATCACCACAAAGATCCCCCTTGTGCTACCCCTTTATAATCACACCCACATCCCTCTCTTCCACCATCCCTCATCCCAGAGACAACTAATCTGTTCTCCCTCCATCTCTATAATTTTTCATTTTCTGATCTTTTTAAAAACAGAGGAAATGTATTTGCTCATTGCACCTCCTGATTTAAACGTCCACATAATAAATGACTCTTAGAATTCAGTGCTTTAAGAAAAATTGTTACTTAAGCAAAATCTACAGGCTTCCTTTTATGAGACAGAGAAAACCATATAACCCAGCAAGTGTTAGGGTTATATATTTAGGACTCCCATCACATAGTTAAACTCATCCCAGTACCTGGTACATATACTTCTTTCATCATTTTAATGCATTTATGCTCCCTTTTATTTGCAGTTTTCTTTCTTGCTTAATATGTATTGCTTTGGGAAGCTGCCTTAATTCATTTTTAAGTGCTATATGCATTATAAATAAAAAATGCTTTGTTACAGTAATAAAAGTGTTTAGTGTTTATTGACTGCTTACCAAACTAGATGCTCTCCTAAGTGCTTTACATGGATTAACTCATTTTATTCCCACAACCCTAGTAGGCAGCTGAGGAAACTGAGACACAGGAAGACTCGGTTACTTGCTTGAGCTCACACACGTAGTGAGTGGTAGGACCGGGATTCAAACCCAGGGAGTGTGACTTCAGAACCCAGGCCCATAACTTCTCATGCCTTACCAAGTGATTTCTTCAAGGAATAACCGAATTTCTTTCTTAAACTTGAGAAATCTAGTTTTTTGTTGCAACAGTTTTTTTCTATTTAAATTTTTTTCTTTAACACCTATGTGGTAGTCTGTGGAATAAAGCCATTTCTAGTAGGGGACAGAGAAGTCCCTGGGTGGTGCAGACAGTTAAGCTCTTAGCTACTAACAAAAAGGTTGGCAGTTTGAATCTACCCAGAGGTGCCTCAGAAGAAAGCCCTGGCAATCTACTTCCAAAAAATCACAGTCATTGAAAACCCTATGGAGCACAGTTCTACTCTGAAACACCTGGGGTCACCATGAGCCGGATCATCTCGACGGCACCGGTATTTTTTGTTGTTGTTGTTGTATTAGTAAGGTATAGAGCCCCAGGCAAATCCCCCTCAATCAGCTTCCCTCTGTACCCAGTTCTTTTAGTGAGGTAAAACCAGGTCATGGCACAAGTAGCATGGAGCAGAAAATATGTCACAAAAGGGCAGTATGAGGGCTTTTCATGGGAGAGGAAAAAGTGAGCCAACCCAATTAACCCTGGTGATAGGATGGAAGGAGGGGGCAGTTAGAGGATAAAACCCTCAGGGCTTTGAAATGCTTTAATCAGCTGCAAAGCCCTCTTCTCCCCCATTTGTTGCCTCTCTGAGTCATGTCCATCTGCCCATGCTGGAGTCCAGGCCAGTTGGCAGGATGGTAACGATTGTGTTGGAGTGAACAGGCCCTTCATCTGGCATGGGAACTGCAGGCTCACGCGCTGTGTATCACAGAGCACATTTCTAAAGCACTGTCCCTTCTCCTCCAGACACGTGGCCATTTAGGACTGCACGCAGAAATAAGTGTGGATGCAGCTGTGTGTGCAGTACATTAAAGTGTATACACACGCAGGGAATGCCAAAGACTCTAAAGCCCCAAACACAGAACACCCTCACAGCAAAAATTCACCTGAAACACAATGTTATCCAAAACGGTTATTTATGAAGTTAATATCACAAGCCATTTGGTATGAGACTGAATTATTCCATTTTCCTTTTCTTTTTAACACTTCATCTTAATTTATTTCTGATTATTATCTCTCTGCAGAGTTAATTTATATGCTTTGCTTTGTGCTCATTAAGTTTAATTAATTCAGTGAGAACCCGGTCCTCTTTAGAATCTGAATAATTTTTATTCTGTCAAATGCTTGAGATGGGAAGAGGAAGCCAAAAGGTCACAATACAATAGCGGGTGATTGGCTGTGGTTAAAACTTCTCCTCTGGGGCCCTTTAGTATCTGTTAACATATACACAACTACATGACTGTTCCAATATAGTGTTAAGGTTTTTTTTTTTTTAAGAAATTCTACTTGAGTGTAATAAGCTGCATTTTCACAGCTTGTCAGTAAAAAACATCTCAAGAAACTGTACCCTAAAATCCATGAACAAGTGACCAAAATTTAGCCAGTATTTGGAATGGTGTTCAAGTAATCTGACCATTATGAAATTAATAATACATGTAATTCAATATGTGTTTTCTAATTGTGCTAAGTGGACTACAGTATAAAGTTAAAAAATTTTTTAATTAACTTAAAATAGGCATTTAAGGCTATGATTCGAAACTGGTAACTAAAATATCTGTTCACTTCTTGTCTCAAAACTTTAGCAGTCACCCCTCTGGTTTTGAAATCTCATTTCACATGCCTTTTTTAATTTTCCTTGATACCAAGGAAGAGGGACTGTTGTTGGTTCAGGTCAGCTACTACTTAGCAAGAATGCACAGCTGAAAGTTATTCTTTTATGAGCTAAGGATTTAACTGATCCGGCTCCACATCACTCCCAAGCAATTGAGATCTATCTGGAGAAGGCTGCTATCTTCTTCATTCAAGAATCCCTAGATTGGAGTGACATGTTTCCTGGTTGTATTTTGATTAGAAAATCATCTTACTGTCTTTCCAGACTATTGGTAGAGGTATTTCCTCTTTCAGGTTTCTATAGAAACAGCAGATTAAGCTTCGTTTTCTCTTTTTATTAGAGAGTAATAAAAACTCTCTAATAAAATTTTTTATAATAAAATTTTTTTCCTTAATTCTAAGTTGATACTGGCAACTCTTTCCTAAGTCAGGCAAAAGAAATTTTAAGATTCTCTTCTAATCTGTCAAGGGCTCCAGTACATGGTTAAGGGTGGATTTCAGATACCAACCCCTCCCTGAAAAAAATGACACCAGAATTGTCTAAGTACACAAAGTATCCCCAGATTCCTGAGTCATTGTGCTGGAATGAAATGTGAGCGTGTTCATCCTGAACCAAGATGAAACAGTGACCTAACATTCAATCAAGCCTTTTTAGCACGTAGAGCAATGGCTGTTAATCCCTTCAAGTGCCTCTACTCACCTAAGGACACATTTATCTTCATTAACTGACAGTGAATGTAAGAGCTCTGAGTATGCACCAAGGTCATGGACAAGGACAGTGTGATCTGAACAGACTCCCCTATAAATCATTGAGAAAGAGCTCCCAGAGGTTGGCAGTGGTGGAGATGAGCACACAGGCTGACCCGCATGGAGTCTGTTCATGCTTGGGTGCCTGAAATACATGTCCTCAAAACAGGCATCGTGTTTACCCCTAACAGTGTCCCAGTGATAGATTTCCAGAAATGGCTTATGTTCCTCTAAAGTCTAAACTTCCCTCAGATGCCATTAGTATCGTTGAGCCATCATAAAAAGGAATGACAGTATACAAAAGAACCTTCAGAGAGGAGGACTCAGTAAGATTGCATTCCCAACAACCATAGCTCTTAAGGTGAAATATTTCATTAGTCTATACCAGCAATTCTTGGGAATCTTTACTGTTCAACTATTGGAACCAGAAAGAATCTTTCCTCTCGGAATTAGGTCTGGGAACTTAGCTGTTATACACAGTTACTCAACACCAGGCTGGAAAAGCAGTATGGTGCAGTGCTAAGCACACTGCCCCAGAGCCAGCATGCTTGGGTAAATCCCAGCTCTGCCACTTACTAGCCATGAAACCTTTTGGGTTTCAGAAACAGGGATACAACCTACAAAATAGGGATGATAGTAGTACCTACCTTGTGGGGTTGTTGTGAAAATTAAATGAGTTAGTACACCTCAAGCTCTCACCACACTGTCTGGCATTCAGTCTAAGTGTTCACAAAGTATCACCTGTTATTACTATGCCATGTTGAGGGTGGCAGGCTAACTTCCTTTTCTCAAATGTCCTCACGGCACCCCTGTTTACTTTCACAGAGGAATTCTGGATGGTTGTGAGCATTCACAATCTGAAGGTTTAGAGTGAAAAAATAAACGATTTTGAAAAATGTGAGATATAAGGCCACAGAGTGGCCTTAAAAAGGTAAGATATTTGAAACCTTTGGTATAAGAAGCCACTGTTGCCGAACAAAATTTTGAGCTACCAATGGTAAAGCAGATGGGCTAAATGTGACATCTGGCTTCACCAAACTTCTTCAAGGAAATCAATAAGAACAGCTGTTCCCTTGTATCTAAAAGAAGAGCCTTGGTGTTGCAGTGGTTAAGTGTGTTCGGTTGCTAACCAAAAGGTCGGTGGTTCGAATCCACCAGCTGCTCCATGGGAGAAAAATGTAGCAGTATACTTTTGTAAAGATTTACAGCCTTGGAAATCCTATGGGGCAGTTCTACTCTGTCCTATTGGGTCACTATGAGTCGAAATCGATTCGATGGCAACGAGTTTGTATCTAAGAGGGAAATTTTTTAGCCCAATGCTTGACTTTATAGGCTAAAAGAATGCAAAGAACTAGATTTCCGATCAGGTTGAAAGGAACTAGTTCTTAAGGAAAAAACAAAGATGCCCATAATGATCATGAAAGTCTTAAAATCAAGATAGCTATGGCAACCCCAGTGGCAGGAGTTTCAACAAAATAAAACACTGTTTCTCAGAGTTCAGTCCAGAAACTATGGTACTATCCTTTTCCAAACCACGGAAGGGAAATTAATTTGAAAATACTTCAGATTTTTGTAGACCATTTATTTTATACCTAATAAAGTGAAATAGGGTAGCATAACATCCACCATAAAATCTATTTCTCTAAAATGTCAGCCTTCATCTTTGCTAATGAGGCTGTAATTTTGTCACATTTGCCTTTTATATGCAACATCATTTGGGGACAAATAAGGAAAAACAAAAATAACTCTCAGCACATTGAGAAATAGACTTTAACATATGCAAATATCCCTGGGTTTATTTGTTCTTTTCTTTTTCTTTCTCTCTTTTTCTCTCTCTCTTCTTTCCTTTTATTTATTTGTTTGTTTGCTTATTTGTTTAAATCTAGGATGATATTAAGATCTAAATATTAGTGAATGATTAGACTTTTTTCTATCCTTTTAGTCTTTTAAAGTACATCCTCTGAGGACTTATAAATGAAGTTCTAATGTTTTAATTACACATGACACCATGTAGCTGGGTTAACTCTATAATTATACCTATGTCTACACAGGGAAATTTGAGTTTCTTATCAAAGACATTGCAAGTATTCGTATGATTGAAGTTGAAACCATCTTGTGATCTTCTTCTTTGATTTTATAATTGATTAAATGTAGACTTGCCTGAAATATGAACAAAGGGAAAATGAAAGCCTGATATGGGTGTTAATGAAATAAGAAAGTCTGGGGAATTGTTTAATGGTAAGCTCTAACTAATAAGGACAGCTAAGAACAGCTATTCCAGGGAGAGTCATCCCATGTCTCTAGGAGACTTTTGAAGAATGGTTTGCTTCAACTTGTTATATTTTACTTCCACAGTTAGCATGTTAAAAATTTTATTTTTTTAATAATGAAAACAAGTTTTGAATGAAAAAGTAAGTCTCTAACACTAATAATGACAAAGTAAACCTTCCAATTGCAATTCCTCGGTTATGCCCCTTGCATCCAATTTGCAGTCTCTTTGCATCCAATCCTGCAGTCTATTTATTGAACAAATGAATGAACTTACCTCATTTCCTCTAAATCCAGAGGTTCTGAGCACCTCTGAAGCTGAAGTAGCCATTATTCTCTGATAAGATTCCATCCAAACACTGTGCCGTTGAAACTTGAAACATAATTTCTCTCCCTAACTGGTTGATTCCAATTAGCTGGTCACTAATCTTGAATTAATTGTTTGATTTAGTAGCTCAGACACAATTTTATTATAATGGATAATTGATCTGCTTTTTCTTCACCTTCTCTCTAGGTTACAGTCATTGCTTTTGTTTTCTAGGTTATCCACTATAGAACCTGTTTCCTAAACTGCAGTTAAATTAACCATCTTCTTGTTTGGGGTAACTGGCAAGGAGCAGATTTAATTCCAGGCATGACACACAGGATCCAATTTTGATACAGCATACCAAGTGTTCCATGATTAGCCTTTGTTCATCTAAATGTCCCTGGATATGGTCCAAGCTGTTCTCTCCTTTTATTCAAAAGCTAAAGAAATAAATAATGTTTTGATGCTTAAAAAAAAAAAAATTAAGCAGTTGGTAAAAACGTTGTTCCCAACTCTATACGTTGAGTTCATATGTTAGGGACTGAGATTATACCTTAACAAACATTTCTATGTCTGTTTGTCTGAAGGCTCAACTAATCTGCAGTTTTAAATAGTACAAAAGTTTCTCAGTACAAAATGGGGAGAGGGTATGTTGTGACTAGTAACACCATGACAGGTGCTCCCAAGGCCATGAGGACCCTTTGACCCTCCTCTGTCACAGTCTGCTCCCATACTAATTCTCCAGGCTCATGGTTGAGTGTTCTATATCTGCAGAGCGAGTGGATTCAGGCAAGTGCCGTTTTCAAGGTACAGCTACTTTGAGCAAATGATGTCAGGATCCTCACATGTTTGGAAACTGAAAGATCACTGTGTCACTTGATACCAAATTTTCAAAAATGCACTGCTATAGCTATTTGCATGCACAAGACCTTGAATAGAATACCTAGATTTAAAAAAAAAAGATAGAATCCTAACAATATTGTGGTTTCAGAACTATTTCTCAGAATAAGCAGTCCCCAGTTTACAACCTGACTTAGAACTCAGAATAAAATTTATAATAAAATTATTAGCACGGTTTCAGCCATGTTATGGGCTAAATAGGTTTTAGTGGGCTGGGCTGGAAATTCAGTCCTCATGTAAAGCATTTCTCTTAGGACTTTGCCTTCATTGGCTCAAGGGTGTAATTACAGAGCAGTTCAGTGAATGTATCTGTCCCCCCTCCTCCTGCCACAATTAAGGTGGAAAATGCCACCTTGAACTTGGAAATAGACACGTAGCTCAGGAACCAGCCTCACTCTTGGAGACTCTGGGAAGGACCCTGTTCAGGTCCCCCATGCACCCCGAGCTGGCTGCTTCTAGACACGTGTTTGTCAGGTGTTGTTTATCATTCCAAAATTCTGAAATGTTTGCAGCTCAACAGAAGCCAGGGTTACCCTAATTTCTGTTTAGCTTCCTCTCCAGTCCCAGCAACTCCAATCCTACAGCTGGAAGAGTGTTGTACCCACAACAACAGCGCCACACTGTCCTGGAAACAGCCACCTCTGTCCACGGTGCCCGCTGAAGGATATATTCTGGAGTTGGATGACGGCAGTGGTGGTCAGTTCCGGGTAAGCAGAAAACCTTTACTTGTTAACCAAAACCAGGACTAGCTCACAGGACTATGAAGTCTTAGGCCTGGCTTACCCACTTCTCCTGGAGATGGGCCATTCTGGCAGGGCCTGCATGCCCTTCAGCTGAGCCTCACTTTCTCCTGTGCCATCAAAGATGGATGAAGGAGTGTCTGCATGGAAACTGTCCTACCTTTCTAAAGAGAAGGTACATGTAGTACTGCAAGCTCTGGAGTCAGATTGCCTGCATTCATATCCTGCCTCCACCAGATAGCTATGTGATTGTACATTTCTCACCTCAGAGCCTTCAGGTCCTCATTGGTAAAACAGGGGTCATAACAGTAATATACACCTGATGCATTGTTGTTAAGCTTCAATTAGATAACCCATTTAAAATGCTTAGCATGCTGCCTAGCACATTGCAAGCCAGCAGTATTAGCTATTTTTATTACCATATTGTTTATTATTAGTAATACAATTCATCATTCTCTAAGATTTGTCCCTGTATTCCACAGCTTCCTAACGTCTTTGATTGGCATCATTCTTAATTAACATGATCTCCCATTATCCTTTCCCTGTTCTAAGAGGCTTCATTAGCAAAGGTTTCCCCAGTTGTGTAGTTCTTACTGAGCCTTTGACCAGAGAGAGCTCATGCCAACAAATTATTATCTCCCCGAGGCAAGGGAACCCTAACCATTGGGAAGCTTGTAGTCTGACCCTTTGGTAAGATGTGGCCATGGTGCCTACAAGTCAGTTATCTGTATGAATGCCTGTCTCTGCATGCCTGCTTCTCTCTCATACACACACAGCCTTATTCTCATCTATTCTCCACCCCCCTTATTGTCTTTCCAGGAACTCCAGTGCCTGGGACCTCCCAAGGAGGCAGCCCTTCTTGGTACTGAGGCCAATCCCCGCACTGATGAAAATGAGACCTCTGTCCAAAGGCAGACCCCTGAGGAGAGGACTTCCTTCTGGCCATAAATGGCCAAACCTGGCTCTCTAGCTTTCAAGAACAAAGTCTATCAAGGCCTCCTTTTCCTGAATGTGTTTTGTCTAAGTTTAAATAATTGAGAGCAGGGACAATGTCTTCTAGGATTCTCCTCTCAGTTCTCTCTTTTGATACATACGTGTTGATCTACTGACATGACAAAATCAAGTTTCCACCTTTCCAAAGTAAGGCTCTCAGGGTCCACTTCTTTTGTACTGTGTGTGTTTACACATGTGCATAGAGAAATCCTGTCAATTCATCAGCCTCTCACCCCTCACTTGGCAGTCTTTTCAGTTCTTGTTTTGTTATCAGAGCTTTTCGTTTTCCTTTATTTTTTTTTTTTCCCTCTGTGAAATGAATTTTCCTGGCGTTCCCAATTCTCTAAATAAATAATCTTATTTTGCCTCTACTTGTCCCTATGACTACCTGTAGGCAGCCTTCCAGGCATCCATCTGGGCATGGCCCTCATCTCTTGGTGGTCAAAGGTCTCATGTACTTCCCTGCTTCCACATACACCTGGATGCTGGTGACTCTCCAGTCCTTCTCTCTCACCCATACTCGTCTCTCCTGAGAGTCAGGCCCAGACTTCCACCTGTTGGCTAGAAATTTCCATTTCTAGACCCTGGAAGTGCCGTAAGCTCAGCATGCTTTAAAACCCATAATTTTCTTCTAAAATTTAGCCTTGTCTCTCCTACATCCCAATTTTCCTTTCTCCAAGATATTAGTCTCAGAATCTTAGCATCTTCTGGCTCCTCCCTTCTCACTGAGCCCCAATAACATTAAAGAAGTCTTTGAATCCCACTGATCCCTCCTGGTCAACCCATGGCTCTCTCCATCTGTGCTCCTTATCCCACAGGCCACCATGAGAAGGTATGACCACTCCACAAAGTTCCACTCAAGAGGCTACTTATACCTCAGTGTCTCCAGGTTGTACTGTGCCTTGCTTCTTAAAGTGTGATCCTCACTCAGCAGTATCAGCTTTACCTGGAAACTTGTTAAAAATGCAAAATCTCATACCCTGCCCCAGAAACCTACGGGATCAGAAACTGCATTTTAACAAGATCCTCAAGTGATTCCTACACATATTAAAGTCCGAGAAGCGCTGAATGAGAGGGAAGAATATTCAGATTTTTCTTACCGCTGTAGTATTGATGAATCTAGGCAATCCCAGACCCCGATCTTCTTATCATCTCACCAAACAGTTGTCATTTTAAGGCTGTGCTTTGAATGCAAATTATTTTTACTCATTACACCAGCATAATTTTGCAAAGTGCACAGCTGAGGATGGAGTCAAATGCCTAGTCTATGCTAAAGATGCATTATGTTAAGATTTATTTTAAGCCTTTGAAATGTCATTCCCCCCCCCCCATCTCTGTACTGTGATGAAAACCTACCTATACTGCTACAGCTTTGGAGTGTAGTGTGACAGTTCCTGAAGGTATCAGTGGAGTTATAAACAGCATAAGCCCATCCTCATGTTTTCACACGTGATTTTTACAAACCATACTGATAAAGTGCTCAGTAGGTATAATATACTGTATAAATGCCAAGTTAATAATAATAAGCAAAATCCTAACTATACGAGAGTAATGGGGCACAACAGTCCAAGGACAAGGACTAGAAGGCAGGAGGGGACAGGAAAGCTTGGTAATAGGGAACCCAGAGTTGAGAAGGCACAGTGTTGACATGTCATGGGGTTGTTAACCATTGTCATAAAACAATATGTGTACCATTTAATGAGATACTATTTGTTCTGTAAACCTTCATCTAAAGTACAATAAAAAAAAAATCCTAACTATAACCCAATTTTAATTTTTTAAGCCCTACCTGCTAATAGCTAATATTCATTAAACTGTCAGCTTCTGCTAAATATGAGACATTATGCTAATCATATGAAATCCTCACAACAACCTTATAAGGTGGGTATTATTGTCCCCATTTTACAAATGAGGAAACTGAGGCTAAAAGAGGTAAATCAAATGGCCCAATATCTCACAGGATTCAAATCCAGATCAGGCTGATGCTCTTGCTCCAAAATATTCAGGAACACTGCCTCCCTTGCCCTTCACAAGAGTTCACTTTCAATGGTGGCCTGTTATTTGTTGACCCTCAGGAAGTATATGTTGGAAAGGAAACAATGTGCACTGTGGATGGTCTTCACTTCAACAGCACATACAACGCTCGGGTCAAGGCCTTCAACAAAACAGGAGTCAGCCCGTACAGCAAGACACTGGTCCTCCAAACGTCCGAGGGTAAGGCCCTTCAGCAGTACCCCTCAGAGAGAGAACTGCGTGGCATCTAAAATGGCTGGCAAGCCCGGAGGTAACCCCACCACTCCCACATTACTGCCGTGTTCCATGACTTACTCTTCACTCTGGCACAGAGCCGCTGTTCCTCTCCTGCCTTTAGAGAGCCCATGGGATGTGGATGTGATCAAACCAAAGATTCCACATCGGCAGTTCACATGACCTGGGCCGTCTGCTTCCTTTGATAACACTAGAAATAATCTGCAGTGGAAGAAGCTGAAAATGAAGCCCTGAATGTGCCCCCGGTGTGTCAGACAAATGTATCTAGGCTCTAGAGCAGGCTCCCATTCTCCATCGATTCACATCATTGGCCAGTTTTGCCCAGATGATTCTAAATTGCTTTGTAGTGCTTGTTTGCTCCTGAGGGTGGGACCTAGGTTCTTTGCAACTATGGATTTGTATGACTGAACATGTTTCAAATGGGTATGGGGTGCTAGAGCTGTTCAGAGGGGGCCTGTTGGGCACTCCTTGCTTAACCAGCGCGGACCACTTCCATTTCATGCCCAAAGCCCAGGCTGTCGGCACCAGGACTGAGACTTCCTGTGGGCGCCAAACAGGAAGAGACCAGCAACTCTGCATTACCTCGCCATTTTCATCTTTGCCAGCCCCTCTAGGCTTTGTTAGGCTGCCTAGGGCCACCGTACAAGGTTAATCTCTAGCGAACTTTCACTTCTTGGCTATACTGTAAATATTTTGGTCATCAAAGACAAGCGATTCACCTCAGAAGAGGGGCTTGAATTTGATGGCCAGGCATAACCTCTAAGGCTTTTAACATTTTTATCTTAAGAGCAACACATGAAATTAAACTTGTGAAGAGCTATTTGTGGCTGGTGCCAAAGCATTTTCAGACATTCTGGGTGTCATTTTAATCATAGACGTCACCCCCTCCCCACCAGCATTCTCCATAACTTCCCTCCGCAGTGCTGATTACGTTGATTTTGTTCAAGTTCAAACTGTTAGCTAAAAGAACGGTGGTGGTATTTTTTCATACTCACCACACATCTCGGCACGTGCCAATCACCCCTGAAATGGTTCACATGGTTAAAACAAGCACAATGTAGAATCCCACAGCGAGGTGGCAGCCCCCTGGCCATGAAAATGGTGCTTTGGGGAGCAGGTGTAAGTCTGTGAATGATACTATTAAAAAAGATGGACTTGTAGAGAATACCTACACGACCTATTCCCATTTGGGTTACAGTGACACCATAGCTAGAGCCTTTCCTGGAATTATCATTGTATCATCTTCTCTCTGGGATGACCTACCAGTGTGAGAGCAGATGCTTCCTTCCCCGCAATACCATGCTACATGCTAAAGCCCTCTATGAGTTTTTCTAGATGCAATGCAGGAGGCACTCGATGGTGACAGCCTCATTCCACTGTGTGCACAAAGCAGTTTGATTGAAGAGTTAAGTGCATGCCATGAGAGCAGGGAGATACTTTGCAGCAATGTTGCTAATATGTGTCACCAGACCTACTGGAAAACTATTTCTATTCATAATACATCATAGAAATCATACTATTCTGCTAATATCGGTTCTTAGCATAGCTGCTTGAACACTTATGTCTCTCTTTTCATCCTGCAGGAGGATGTAGTTTCTCAGTTTCTTTTAACGTTCATAAGATTATGGTGTCTAATTTAATAAATTACAGGATTGGAACTGCGATCCTTGGTACCACAGTCACAGAACTGGGTGTCATTTTCTTAATGAAACTAATGGAACAAGTCCTCTTCCAACAAAGAAACTGTACTGTAAAAATTAATTTCCTCCATGAATTTTATATATTGTGTACAAATATAAGGTATGTATCTGAATACAAAAAAAAAAAAAAAAAAAACCTTAACATCATGTAGATATCTCTCTGTTACTGCACAGAAGTGATTTTCTCATAATGAAATAAAGTTCACACACATACTTTCTCCATAACTTTGGTTTGTTCTATTTGTTTCTCCCTCATTCTAATTCATTCAAGCATTGAGACAAGATTTAGAAAGCAAGGAAAATATAATAAGCTTATTAAGAGATATTTGATCTGTAACAAGAGAAAGCTTATAGAATTAAAGAATTGTCTCTCTCTTTTCTTGTTTTTTAGAAGCCAGTGAGAAAAAAATGCTATTAACAGAGTTTTGCCATTTTAACTGTGCTTATCCTGTATTAGTCTTATTTCCTACAGTTTTTGGAAAGGTTTGTTTGGTGATTTTGTTTATGTTGTTGCTGCTGGGGTGGTGGGGTAGCTTATTTTGGCTTTCTAATGTAACAAAATCTTTTACTTTCTTCTTAGCAAGAGTTAAAGGGAGAGAGAATATTAAATAAACAATTATAATACAATGTCTGAAGTGGAGGCTAGCAGGAAATACAATGTTACAGCACATTGCATGGAAAAGCAGCATGACCTAAAGGATCAGTGAACGCTTCCCAGAGAGAAAAGAGAGAAAGAACTCAAAAGAGAGGGAATAGCTGTGTACAAGGCAAAAGCTGTACGCAAGGCAAAATTTCAAACATTTGCCTCAAGCTGACCATGAAAAGAAAACTTTCATTCATTCAAAAACATTAATTAAGCACCTTGATTACGTCAGGCACTGTGCTCAGCCCGGGGTCACAGAGATGCATAAGGCATGGCCCCTTATGAGCTTTACTCCTCCTTCCTGGACCTCATGGCACCTTACTCAGAGCACCTAAAAACTATGATACCACCTCACCTCTCTAGAACTAAGATATCCACCCTACAGTCTAGATAGCCATCTTACAACCAGGAAGGAAGCAACAGTGATCACTGATCAGCCAAAAAAAAAAAAAAAAAAGGCAGCGAGTCCAGGAATTGAAGCTCCTGCGCTTTGCTCACAGCAGAGCCCTTGGTCTCACTCAGCTCTCATTTACTCTTAGTTTATGCACAATTCCACTGAGCTCATTGATCCATTTAATCCATTTGACAAGACCACAACAGACTAGAAGCGTCACATAGGAAGAGAAGAGAAGGATTGTCAAAGAAGTGAGTCAAGGCTCTTAGCAGCCTAGAGTATGGAATGTAACTGGAAAAACTGAGAATAGACCCCTCCCCCCAAAAGAAAGCATTCTGTGGCATTTGCTCTAATGAAAGAAGTCATAAAGTGTGTAATGCATTTTAGAAAGATTTTGATCTAAAACACTTAAAAGTCAGTATGTTCTCTGTAACCCTGGGTTATAGGGTATTAGGTATATCTCTGAAAGCTTTATGGAATCACGGTACGAAATAAGCCGAAAAGCTATTACAATGAGCCCCACTCATTTTGTGTCATGCTTCTAAGCACTTTCTTAACTGTCCACCAAAAATTTTATGAAAAATGACAGCAACATGAGAGTCAGCAAATATTTTTAGGAAACTGGAATCCCATTGAGGAATTGTATAAAAACTATCCATTCCAAGTTTTGCTATATAGTCCTGAGGAAAAAAATAGGGATTTATTTTTCTGTTCATCCTGACAACTATATAGACTTAGACTTCTATACCCATGGCTAATTTCTAAACCCCTTCCCTGTTCTGTTACTGCAATATTCCAGATTCACCCTATGTATTAGTTTTCTATTGCTGCTATAACAAATTACCAAAACCTTAGTGGCTTAAAACAATACAGGTTTATTATCTTACAGTTCTGGGGGTCAGGAGTCCAAAATGGGTTTCACTGGGCTAAAATTAAGGTGTTGGCAGGACCGGGCTCCTTCTGGAGACTCAAGGGGAAAATTTGTTCTCTCACCTTTTCCAGCTTCAAGAAGGTGCCTCCATTCTTTGGCTTGTAGCCGCTTCCTCAATCTTCAAAGCCAGCAGTGTAGCATCTTCCAATGTCTCTCTGACTATAAGCCTCCTGCCTGCCTTGTATAAAGACTCGTGGTTACATTGGGCCCACCCAGATAATCCAAGATAATCTCACGATCTCAAAATCCTTAATCATATCTGCGAAGACCCTTTTGTCACGTAAGGTAACATATTCACAGATTACAGGGATTAAGACATGGACATCTTTTGATGGAGGGGGGGTTATTATTCTGCCTACTACACCCTATCAGGAAGGTAGTACTATTATCATCCCACTTTAAAGAAGGGAAAACTGAATTTCTGAGAGGTTAAATAACATGTCAGACCTGAGCCTTTCATCTTTCAGTGCCCAACACAGTGCATTCTGGTGCTGACATTAGAACAGTGCTGCTTGCACTCAGCCAAAAGGAAAGAAAGAGAGGGGAAACTATCCTAAGCCTGTCTGCTACGCTTCCGAAAGCGTCTTGTCAAACTGAAGCAGCATCATTTAGTTGCCTCATATAAAAAGCCACAACCGTTGCCATCAAGTCAATTCTGACTCACAGTGACCCTACAGGACAGAGTAGAACTGCCCCATAGAGTTTCCAAGGAGCGGCTGGTGGATTCAAACTGCCAACCTTTTGGTTAGCAGCCCCAGCTCTTAACCACTGTGCCACCTAGCCAGAAAAAAAGAGTCATGTTAGAATTTTGTTTTAAAAAGTAACATTTCTGCTTTAAGAAGGAGATATGGGAGTAGCTGACATTTCCAGCACAGTATCCTTTCCCCCAAGCTGCTCCTCAGGTCCTGTGCCTGTTTTCATGTCTCTGCATTTCCTCTAGCTCCCCATCCCCACCCAATGCATCCCTGGCTGGCTAGCTCACCTAGAGAGGCCCGTCTGCTCAACTGGTACCGATGGAGTGCTCTTGGCTGGCGGTGATGAGTCGCTGCCTAGAAAGCAAAAGGAATGTCAGTGCCACAGCTTTGAGGACCTTGAAAGCCACTACCAAATGAGGTCTGGGACTTGGAGCCCTGCTCAGGTTGAAACCACAGAACTGTTTATTCACAGAAGCTCTCCAGCCCTCCAGATCTCAACTGTGAGGAAAAGTGGGGACAAGGTAATCAGTGATAATTAGTCAGACTTGAGATAAGGCTGTAAACTCTGGCACTCCCAGAAAAC